GACAGTGTCATTAGTAGAAATCCTAAAATCATTCACACACAATAACAATAATAAATGAAGGGAGGGCCAAAGACAAGTGAAATGGTGCGACACGCCAGCAGCACCGCATTTTTTGGAGGATACACCCATAGAAGTAATACTCACCGACTCACGCAGAAAGAAAGAAAAAGGCAATTTGAATTTTTTTTTCTTGTCCTCGTATTTTTTTTTTTAAATTCCTGCAGTAAAGAAGCCAACAAAAATGGCATCGCTTTTCGCTTCTTGACGAGTGGCAAACTGACAAGACGCACCGCCAACGCCTGGGAGGAGGTCTGCCAAAGATTCAGCGCAAACAAACAAAAGGAAACAACAAAAAAAAACCCTCTCGAAACTTCCTTCTCTTTTCTAAATTTTATTTCCTTGCCTCTCTCTCTCTTTATATATATATATATCTCCGGTTCAAATGAAAGAAGAAACAAAACCCCTCTCCGCCGTCCATCAAAATTCAACCGACGCAAATGATGTCCACGCCACCATCTTCTATTTTGCCGTGAGGCCATGTCAATGTACACAGACTTGGGCGATAAACAACAACAACAACGACAAAGTAGGAATAAAATAAAATAAAACCATCCTTTCAGGGCAAGACCGTCAACGCCTCCCCAGGATAAAAAATAAAACATGCTGCCACGCGAGGGTGCAATTCAGTGAGTATGACACCGCGATCACTCCCATTCAAACCGAATCGTAGGGTCCTTTCTCGTATGTCATACGTAAAGCGAAGCACATCGCCGTTGCGACACACAGGAAGCTGCTGAACAATTGGAGTGGGGCGGCCAATATGCCCGTCAACGACACCGCTCTTCGTAGGGCACCAGTAGAAACCCTCAGGGATGGCAGCGGCGTCTGTCTTCTCAACAACACCAACAAAAGACTCTGTAATGAGCTCCAGTCGTATCCGCCATGTAACACAGCCTCCATCTTCAGGAAAAAGAGTTCCAACAGTCTCCATAAGTTCCCTGCTTCGCACACCTATTTGGGTCGATCCGCCTCCCCCACGTGCAACGCAGCGCAACAGAACACCGTCACCTTTCAGAGTGGCTTCCACATCATCATCAACGGGAAATGTCAAACGCAACGGTCTTTCTGGAGGCAGTGTCGATCCCCCAACAAAGTTTCGGTTGCCATTCGTAGCTTCACTCGGTTGACGGGTTGTCATGCCTCCTGAGGGTGGACCATTGTTCGGTCTCCTTTCCGTCGAATCGGTGTTATGCAGCTCCACGCCATGCATGGTTTGTAGATCCAAATGGAGCTCCAACCCCGAAATCATCATGTCACCGAGATTGGAGACTTTGAATCCGCTTCCCGTCACGGTGGGGGTCTCGGTCTTGAGGAAACTATAGAGAATTGAACGGCTCTCCAATACTTCGTGATCAGAACCACCACTCCGCAGGTGCTGAAAGCGCAGGGTGGCCTCATTCAACGCGTTGAGTTTCGCCAAAAATAGTTTCCGCGTCGATGTGAGTGAGGTGTCTCCCGATTCTCTCAGCGTTGCAAGTAACTTGCGCAGCTCCACTTCCCGCTGCATCAACTGTTGTTTGAAGTGATTAAAGCGTTCCGTGATGATGTTTTCGACACTATCGTATGAGTTAAAATATTGGGCGGTCACGCGGTTAAGTTCACTGGCTTGACTTTCAAGAACCGTCTTTTTCTGTGTTATCAGGCCCATGTCACGCGAGAGCTGCTGCCGGATATCAGCCGCTGCCCGGGCGGCACCCATATTCTCATGATTTTTGTGAGGCCCAACCTGAAGACAATACGCACAACACATTTCCTCGCACTGAGAACAGTAAAACTCGGCACGATACTCTTCATGACCACGAACAAGGCATTTTTTTTGCATTCCTCGCAGTTTCTGTTGACTCCCGATTTTTGCTGTCACATGGCCCCGTTTAGCAGCGCTCTTGTGCACGGCTGTGTTGCAATCATTGCAGTAGACGAACATGCATTCATGGCACTGTACGGCTGCAGGAACTTCTTCGCACCACTGGCACATGGGTGCACCATCCGTCCCCTCCGCTATCATTTTCACATGGCTAGCAAGTCTGGCGTCAGAAAAACTCTGCAGGTTTCGTGCCGACACCGCAGCGTACAGTACATTACAGAGGGGACATGCAAAACCGTCGCTGTTTTGAGATTCCAACTTGGCGCGCACACAGTCAGTGCAATAACTGTGCCTGCAGTCAAATGTGAGGGGGAGTTTCAAAACGTTAAAACAAAGTCCACATGTAACGCCACGCGGCTCCTCAATTCTGCCATCTGTGTCAGTCGCCATGGGAACACTCCCTTCCAACCCCGTTGCGCCCGCCACCTGTGAACGAAACCACGGCTATCCAGAGCTCTAATTCATTCCCCACCGCATCGCAGAGCAGAGACACAAACACACACACACACAAAAAAAAAAAAAATAATAATAATAATAAAAGAAAGAAAGAAAAAAAGGCGCCTTGAAGCAATAATTTCCATAAAAAGCCATCAAAAACCCCATACGGAAAATGCCACAAAAATATACATATACATACGCATGGAGACGGGTGGGGGAAAAAAAAAAATGAAAAAAAAAAAAAACCGGTTACAAACGGCCCAATAATTAATTTCTTCTGTGTGTCTATGCATCTTGGAAGTAAGCGAGTACCGTGTTGGTGGCGAAAAAAAGGAAAACAACATCAACAGCAGACGTCGGCAAGAAGCGTATTTACGGCTTCGCTATCAGAAGGGCCCAATAAACACAATAAAGAGCGTTTAGAAGCAGGCAAACATATGTGACCACATCGTCCTTCAATTGGGCTCCGTTGCTTCGCCTTGAACACCCTTAAACAGCAAACTTAACCAATTTTTTTCTACCATAAATGTCATACACACAAACACACACACACACACACAATTACTCACTGCGCCACGTTGTTAGAAAGACGGTGAGAGTAAGAGAGAGTTTTATACGGAATAGACAAAGTCCATATCTCGTATTATTCCACTTTCTTTATTCCTGGCATTTTATTACTATCTTTTGGGCGACTGACCGTTTCTATGTGCGCTTGCGGTCAAAAAAATTCAAACAACCTTTGCTTTTTTTTTTTTTTGTAAATAATTGGTTGCAATAATGCTCTCAACCACAGAACTGTGTAAATGCCCTCATTCAGCGTTCGTCTCTCCCATATTATATGCGTTGGTTTGCTTCAATAAATATGAAACAATACGCCGTATCCTCCTAGTAATGCACATCTTCTTTCCATCTTCCTTTCCCCCACCTAGCGTCTCCTCTTATTTATTCACCTCAGGAGGTGCACACGCTTAGGATCCATGCGACGCCTTCCTCTAGACCCACACCGGACTTGGCACTGCATCCCTGAATGTGCCACTTACGGTCACGGGACTCCTGCAGATGAAGCGACTCTGCAATCACTTGTGGCGTCTTTGCCGTCGCAAGATCTTGTTTATTCGCAAGGACCAGAACAGGTACCCCCGGGATTCCGTTCAGCACATCCACAAATGACGTGTGGGCCTCCTCAAGGCGGCGGTGATCGGAGGAGTCCACGACGTACATGATGCAGTCCGTGTTATTGTAATAATCCTGCCAGTACTCTCTCAACGCCCGCTGACCACCGAGATCGCACAACTTCGCCCGCCGATCACCACGCGTCAGAGTCTTGATGTTAAACCCGTGCGTTGGCCCTTCCGGTGCCGCGGGGGTTTTGCGAGTATTCTCGTCATCGTTGACGTCGCTCTCACCAAGAGTATTCAGTAGTGTCGTTTTCCCTGCATTGTCCAGTCCCACAATAAGTACGCGAGGCTCATTCTCGCGCCTCACTCGATTCCGAAGACCCTTTAGCATTCCTGCAGAGTGGCTGTGGGCGCGGTGTCGCGTAAGCTCCTTCCTGCGAAAATTCAAAAAGAAAAAAAAAATAAAAATAAATAAATAAATAAATAAAGAGCAGTTGTTCCAAGAATGCTCCGTCTTTTCCACCTCACAACAAAACAAAAAGTCATAAAAGATAGGGGAGGAGGAGAAGCCATAGCCGGGGTGGGAGAAATACACGGCATTAACCCCATCTGTAAAAAATATGAAAAAAAAGAAAAAGAGTCATCCGTCAAAGCAAAGTCAAGTGAGAAAAAAAAGATAAAATAAATAAAAAAGACTTTTTTTGTAACAAAATTGTGAGCCCTTCAAGACGATGGGCGGCAGAGTGCGCATACGCCGCTGTTCAGGCAGGACTGCAGATGTTGGGTACTCAGTAGAACCTGGTCACGTGAGCCAACCGTGTCAGCGAGCCACTGGGCAAGTTCCATTGAGCGGCTTTTCAAGTCTGCGACCTCGCGATCCAACGCAGCCATCTGCCTCGCATGATGCATCTGAATTTCTGCAAGTTCACGCTGCTCCAACTCCAACTGGTCCTTCAGTTGGACGGTGGCAACATCATCGCCCCCCGGCAAGGCATGTGCAGCGGCCGCATCGGATTGTGGTGCGGTTCCTGCGCCAAGGCCGGCTGCCCGCAACGCATGCGCTTCCATCGCTTCTTTGATAGCCTGTTCAATTCGCTTCTTCTCGCCACACAAACGGACCAATTCAGCGTCGAGTTCTGCGGCACTTTGTTGAAGCGGGGCCGCTGCATCATCTTCCCCCCAAGAGCGCTGCACCTCGTCCAGTCACATGTATGCTCACGCCACGTAGTCACGAGGATACTCGCCTTCTCCAGCTTGGCTCGCGCGTGCTCGATAAGAAGCGCCTCCTCCACCTCGCTCTGACGGACTGTGTCCATGCCGGCCATTAACTGCAGCTGTAGCTGCCGCTGCTCCTCAAGGAGGTGGTCCAGCTCTTTCTTCAGCTCCAGTGCCCGAACCTCATTCTGTGCTGTCTGTTGTT